CCCCAAAACCCCAAAACCCCAAAACCCCGTGAGCTAATAATAACATAAATTGTATGTTTATGAGAATTTTTAAAGTAGGAATTAAATCACAAATATTAACAAAATTGATCTATTGAAATTGTATACTGTCTTACTATATCACTATTAACTAAGCAATTGAGAGTGATACTTTCATTGTCTGCACTTACTACCATACAATAGTATGTAAAATCCTAAAGAGTGTAATTAGATACGAATATCATTTTCTGTGTCATGTTATTTAAGTTTATTGAATACATTAGATTGCCATTTTTTGTAATTATCAAAGGAACATCTCTTTTAGGATTAAAAGGTTTCTTAATGATAATATTCTGCTAGTTTTTGATAGAAGGAATTTGACTATGATGAAAGGTCTTGAAGAATTTTCTCTTCTCATCAAACACGACAAAATATAGATATTTGTTTAGCAAGCACATTAAGTACTTCTACTTACCAATATGCTTTATGCCTAAGAGATTGGAGTCGTCTATAAACGAGTATCTGTTTGAAAGAGTTAGTTTGAATCTCACTTTGACACTATTTTTAAACTTGATCTCACAAACCCCAAATTAGTTATCTGCTATGTACATATATTGGTTTTTCTTAGTAGTTTTAATGAAATCAGAAATCTAGTCCAATCCGATAAAAAGTTTCAGTCTCTATTCAATTTAGCAATCATTAGTAGAGAGCATCAGAATTCCACCATTTTAAAGAGCACAGAGTATGTACTCTTGTCTTTTATACTCGACAACAATAAATTTGATTACTTGAAATGGAATTTGAAAAGAGTTTATAAGCCTGAATGATGACAGGTCAAATACTTGCAATCTGTAGCTGTCATTTTTTACTGAAACATACACTTGGCCTTTATGAGTAATTCCTGCATGAAGGCATGCACCGATATAAGTCGTTCTCAAGTGCTTAAGGTTATTATCTACTAGATGTAACTTTCCTTCGTCGCCACCTGTAATCATACCCTCACTTTAGGCTTTAATAAGCATGTTGACACTCTCAAATTCAAATGATAATTCTTTTGATATAGTTACAGCCATTTCGAAATCAAATATTTCTTATAATTACTAAGCATTTATCTATTATCAAACTATGGGGTTTTGGGGTTTTGGGGTTTTGGGG